GTCATTTACTGCCTCAGCTTCTTCAGAAGGTCGCAGTCCCTCTGATGCAAGAATATCTAGTGGTAGTTCTTGGTGTGCTCCTGGCGCGAATGGCAAACATTATTATCTTCAAGTGGACATTGGAAGACTTTATGTTTTGTATTATGTTGCAATATTTGGAGATAGTACCAGTTCCAAATGGGTGGTCACATATAACTTGAATTACACTGTTGATTTAAAAAATTGGAGATCCGTGAACCCAACGGTAATTGCTACAGTTTTTATTACTTTGCAGATTACTTATTTTATAACTTATAGTATTTTGTATGACAGAACAGTGTAACGTAAAGAAAATAAATTATTTTTGGTCTTTAGACATTTTTAGGAAACAAAAATGCTTACAATGATGCAGCCATACAAGATTTCCCTGGAGGAACAAGAGCAAGAGCTTTGCGCTTTATTCCATTAACATATGTTGGTCAACCGTGTGTGAGAATTGAAATCTGTGGTGCTAGTAAGTTACTTTTCTTTTCTCGTTAAAGAGGGTATAAATCAACAAATTAAATTATTGCTATTATTATGTAATTGACTGTCATTACACGTTTACACGCAAATCATTTAGGGATGTTTACTCAAACCTCCGATACTCCCAGTCTTTGTTCGATGTGTCCATAGCACGTGTATCGTGGCACACAGAGATGAAAATGTTATTTTACAATAACTCCTTTCGTTCTAGTTCTGTTACCAAATAAACCTACAAACCTCACGGTCACTAACGTCAAGTCAAGAACTGCTAGGATATCTTGGGCGGATCCTAACAACACAGGAGATGGAGTTCTTACAGGATTTCAGATTCAACTGAAGGAAAACAACTCTCTCATCCAGAATATTACCAAAGATAAAGACAATGAATACGATTTAGATAATCTGACACCATACACTACATACAAAATATCAGTAGCTGTTCGAAATAAACATGGTTTTGGAGAAGAAACTATTACTTCGTTCAAAACATCTGAAGAAGGTAAAATAAAATAAAATAGATAAAAGCGTACACAATTCATAGGATTATTTGTCAATCTGCAGGGTGTGAAGCTTTCTTTCATTTCTTACAAAATCAGAAGTTGCTTTTCCATTTTTAGATATAGGTTGATAGACTGTTCCTTGTTTAATGGTTTGAAATGTTACAGAACCTTGATCGTCAATATAATTTAAGAAAGATTGGTCTGATGTTTGTTTCATTTTCAAGCGTCAGCCAGCGTGGCCGGCTCTCCAAGGGAAGTTAACATGTTGGTTATGTGGAATATTGCAACAACTCTCGCACACAATGGTGATATTATCGCAGATCATGGCTCAGATTCAGCAGAATTGTCACGCATTATTACCAACCAACCCCCTCCCCACACATGTGTATAGCTAATACAATATTTATTTTACAAAAACAACTTACCATATTATCTCATTTTAAATTTTAGCTCCAGAAGGTCCTCCACTGAATGTCACAGTGATTGCAGAAAGCTCATCATCATTATTGGTCACGTGGGAACCTCCTGAAAAAGACAAAAGAAATGGTATTATCGTCAGTTATACCGTGTGCATCTCACATGAAGAAAGTAAACCTTGCTTTAGGGAATATACTACAAAGAAAAAGATGGTAGTCATCGAAAATTTGATTGACTCAACAAAATATTATGCTGGTGTTCTTGCAAGTACCGAAGTTGGTCCTGGACCATATAGTGAAAGTAAAGGGAAATTTACCAATGCAGGTAGTATGTGTCGCCTTGGCTATACACGTAATGCAATTTTTATAAACATGCATGAGGCTTGTAGTTTTATCATGTTTTACCAAATCTACATATTTTCTTATAGAACAACCAGAAGTGTCCACAAATGGAACAGCATATACCCTGACTTTCTCCTTGCAGATTCCTTCACAAAAATTCACGTAAGTCAAAAACTTTTGAAAAATGACACAGAAATATTGCATCTCGCGATAACGACCTGCTCAGGACGTTAAGGCTGTCCTGTGAATTTACCTTGTGCATTTTATCACATAGAAATTTATTTGTAGGCACTTTTACGTCGTGGCTTTGAAATTAAAAGACGGAAAGAAAGGTCGATCTCCAGCAAGTTATGAAAACAACGAGTTAGTGACGTACGCTGAAGCAGAAAAATCAACCGACTCGAAACCTTATATCGCTGCAGTAGTAACATCAAAGGATGGAAACATGTTTATACTTGGTGATAGCAGAAATACAAGTGACCCAACACCACGAAGACGCAGATCAACCTCGAGTGATTATTATAATGGTCCGTTGGAACCTGGGACTAGTTACAGTATTTTTCAAAGGATTTTTATTAATAATAAGGTATGGTACTTGTTGGTTATCACACTTTAGAAGTAAATATTTCCTTGTCTAAAGCCTGGTTTACACTATCAAAGTTTCTATGATCACAGTGGGAAGTTGAAGTTTTAAGTTTTGAAGGATTTGTAAGAACTGTTTGAGGGAACTGACTCAGTGTTAAACACGTATTTGTACCTGACAGACAAATATACTATCACCTTCATTACTACAGGGTGACTATTACTCCACAGATTGGAGTCCTGCTTCAAAAACGAGCAAATATTCAGGTACGTCATTTAAGAAAATTCTACTAATACTTGAGCTAGATATCTGCTGTCATCCCAACGAAATATACTATACTTTTACAGGAATTGAAAAGTAAATTTATGGAGACAGTACATTATTACAATATTCAAATGATTTTGTATATTTCTGTTTCCCAGGTGGCCCTCGTGTATTGACCAAGATATCCAGTGGTGACATAAAGGCAAAGGAAGGTGATCTTGTCAACCTACTGTGTTCTGCTCAAGGTGAACTTCCACTTACTTTCAGTTGGAAAAAAGACCAGAAGCCACTGCATAGTTTCACGGAAACTGAAAAGCCTCATCGCAGTTCTTTACTTGTTGTAACAGTGAAAGACCAGACAAGTTTTGGAAAATATATTTGTCATATCCGAGATCGATTTAAAAGCACTACTACTCATACAATTTCGATCCAAAAACTTAAAGATACAGGTAATACTGCATTCGATTAATTCATCCTTCATAAATTTTTCCAACGAAACCTAATCACAACACAATAATTTCTGTTTTAAATGCGTTCAGTATCTTGAATGATTGTGTGTACCAAAGAAACGCAAGTTATAATGCGTTGTTTAATTTTCACATAGGTGCAGAAGATGGTGAAAAATATCTTGCTGGAATTATAGTATTAGCAATTTTACTGGTCATTTCATTTGCTATAATTGCTTATATAACTTATCAAAATCGTCGACTCAAATCATCAAAGGCAAACATGGAAAATAAGAGCAAGGACATAAATAATTCAAAAGATATTTATGAAAATCCTGACAAAATCCAAGATGATGCGAATTATGAACAAGTGGAAAATGAACAGTCGACGTATACAGCTCTCAAAAGGACTGGGAAGGACGAAAATGATGATCACTTATATAGCCATTTAAATGAAGTACACAAGGACTACGTGAATCAGAAGGAAACTGGAATTTAAGGGGGCTCTTGTACGAAGCCCGTTTGGTTTATCTAGTGGATAAGCTCAGTATAGAAAAACAAGTCGGCATACATTTGTTAAATAACCAAACAGAACGTTTTCGACTTGAATAGAAAAGTATCAACCTGTATTAATAACTCATTATATCTATAAAATACACTAACTATAATCTATAACCGTGTTTACATTGCAAACTCAGCTAGGCATGGCCTGAACCTTGCTTTGGCCTACATTTTGGTAGAGTGAACGAACTTTGCCGTAGCCTAGGTCAGAAAATCTGGGCTCATTGCGATTGTTGATTAATGCTTGCCTTAGCCAAGCCTTGTGGCAATTAATATATATAAATAATGTAAACGCATCACAATAGGCAATTCCAGCTATAGACTAAATTTTGATCTAGGCAAGAAGAACAAACTCAATCACCACAGCTAGAAAGAGCATGTTAAAATTAGTAAAATTGCAAAGTTTGGTGGCGAAATGTTGTAAAATGCGGAAAATATAGCCCTGCGAAATTTGCAAATTTTGTATTAACTTGTATTACGCACAGGAAAATGCACCACATTTGGCTGAAAGTACTCGCCTAGATCAGAATTTAGTCTATATAGCTGGAATCACATATTACCTTGGCGTGTTCTTATAGCTTGGCTCAGCTAAGACTGGCAGTGTAAACACAACTTATAAATGATGCACATGTAATGTAAAAGAAATTGAGGATTAGAATGAAACATTAAGAGATTTGCTGTACTGCAAATTAAGAACTTGAAGAATCCTTCCTCAGTTATAGCAATGTATATAAACATGTTCCGCGTCATGCGGCCACTTAGTCACAGGATATTTGTGATTCCATAAATAGTGGCATAATAACAGAGTTGTATCCAAATATAATTACCCTCTTCAAATCTTTGTTCAGTTTAACGTAATTCTACATCTTCCTGTGTTCATTATCATTTATTTAAGTCCGCCATACTAGTCGTGCGTGTTTACACCTTTCATCAAGAGTTTCGAAGGTTTTTAAAATCCACAGACACAGATACATGCAACTATACTAACCATGCACTTAACATTAATCTTTACTAATTAACTAGTTACTGATAAGTTGTTTTCATTTCTTTCTATTCATTTGTTCTTTCAAACTATATGTAACTTTTTTTGTAATATTAAACCATTATTTTGTAAATATATATGTAATACTATACCCTGTAAATACATTTAGATTGCTCTGAAGATGTTGCATTGTAAACAACGAAACGTTAGCTATTAAATTTTAAAGATTTATAATGTTTGGTTTTAAAGTTATTCGTGCCGGATGGGCTCTTTTTTATCTTTAAATTAAGATTTCCGCCTGGTGTATCAATTGCCACAGTTCCACAGATACAGGTTAAATTTTTTGGGCTGATACATCAGTTTCAATGTTTAAGTTATTTCATTTAAAAAAAATTGAAACTGCCTGCTGCATGAAAAAAATTTTCAACGAATTTATATTTAAAAATTTCAATGAAATTCAGTAAAGACTAAAGTTTTCCTGGCTACATGTTTCGTTACCACTAAGCATTGCAAGTTATAACGTATTGTAGTAATTTGACAGCTCTAATTGCTTTAAATTAATGGTTAGATAAGAACACTAGGTCTTGTACTCATGGACAAAACTCAAAGAAATAAAAATTAGAAAATTTAAAAGAAATACAGTGTTCCTTGTATTCTTACCCAACCATTAATTCAAGGCAATTAGAGCTGACAAATTACTACAATACGTTATAGCTGATTTGAATTTGAAAGTGTTCAGTTTTTTTATACACCCTGCATGTATAGCACTACTGGGCACTGGCGCTTTATTAATTTATCCGTCGAAGACTGCAAAGTGCAGATTGGCAGTCGAAAGCTTAAGCTTGTAACAAATAAACCAGAGTCGGCAGAGAACGTTTACACAATTAATTATGAATCCTGGTTTCGTCTCCAATTAATATTGTTAAATTTTAAAGTCATTTCATACACATGTAGCTATATATTTGTGTCGAAAGTAAAAATTTTTCTGGATTTTAGATTCTCTCTAAAATGCGAGTTATTTACTTTGTAAATTTGAAGAGTTTGAAACACTCACTGAATATATTTTCCAACATTATCTCCCTCTGCTGCCGCAAGATTCCGTTTTCTACCTCTGCTGCCGCAAAATATTCTCAGAATTTTCAAACATTTGCCCAAATGGAGGTCGCTGCATGTAGATGCGAGAAACCTTGATTATACAGGCATTGCATTTCACCTGACTGTTTCACAGTTGAATTGGGAGTGGTTTACACCCCTCCCCCCTCCAGTCGCTACATCCTTGGCTCGACTTGATGTTTGTAAACGACTTTGTTCCTCTCGACCAAGTACATGATCTAATTCTTTGTATTTTTGTCATTCCACAATGTTATTTATCAACTACAAACTGTTCTAGTTGTCAGGAAAAGTCGTAAAAACAAATGAATATCGCCCGATGCGAAAAAGACGTTTTCTTTGAAAAACATATCGAGTTGTTTACTGTTAGTCGCTTGTGTTGTGGTGCTATCCACTCCAGCGGGCAGCGGTTGTCTACATTGGATTAAGAATAAACTCGCCATAGATAACATATACTTTGGCAGCCGTTCCGCACGTTGTAACTAATAATTTATTGGCGTTGTAATGCCATTGTATGCAATACATTATTGGGTTGTAATGGGTCTACAAGTAATCCAAACGTTAATCCTAATCCAAACCCTAATGCTAACACTAACCCCACACCCTAACCCCACCTCCTAACCCCACCTCCTAACCCCACC